ATCTTGCCAACGAGCAGGTTTTTGTACATTTCCCTCGCAGAGATGACGGCGGTCCGGTAGAACGTCGGGAAATCGAGCGTCGAGGTAAGGATGTCTGCAAAACCGAAAGGGAGCATACCTGGAATCCAGCCTATCCGAATCAACAAAAACTAAATCAGTTCCGGAGTACAGCCGTGATCAATTAAAGGACAAACCCTGCGCGAGCTCGAGTGCAAAGCAGCCCTGTGCATCTTATACTGCTTCACTGACCCTCTCCTCAGATGGTGCATCCTCTCCCGGCCCAGTACACCTCCTTCTCGAGCGCGCCAGGCGAGAACGCCCACTGCTCGCCGACAAGGATATTGAAGTAGTCGTCCGACGGGTGCAGACCCGTGTGGCCCTCGGTGCCGAGCGGCGTCCCGAAGACGATGAGGTACTCGGTGATGCTCGCGTGAATGACGTACATCGCGCCCATCGCGCCGCCCGCGTTGTTAAGCACCCATTCGTCCGTGCGCGGGTTCAAGGCTATGCGCTGCGCGGGCCCGGTCTGCGGGTACTCCGTAGTGAGATTATGGACGATGTGCGTGATGATGGACGCGGTGTCGTTCCCGTGTGTCTCGACGGCCGAGCGCGCGACGGCGTGTATGAAGACAGGGTCAAAGACATAGAAACGTTGCTGAAAGAAAAAGACCAAGCTTCAGATCAACCTAAACACCCGCTCGTCGTGAAAAAACTAGCACACACCCTGATGGAGTCGACATACGTGCCAAGCGTGGCGAGCAGCGCGAGTACGCCAAAACGCACGAACCACTTCTTCAGACAACCTGACGCCGTTTCATCCTTATTATCCACTGCCTTGCCCATTTGTGTTTTGATCACCTTAAAATACGAGGGAACGGAGGATGCCTATGGGACGCTCTTTTATGAGACTGGCCGTTTGAGAGAAAGAGAGAAGGAAAGTCGAAGAATTTATAAATTATGCAACGACGCCAGCGTGAGTGGTACGAGTCGGCCTCACGCGTTCATTGGACGCGCCTCAGGTATTATATAATATGCCTTTTGTGAAGCTTACGTAGACTTCCATTTCGGGGAACGTCGCCTCTCGGCAGAATACATGCGAACGCAAGCGTAGACGCGATTGTATTTTTGCTTTCACAACAAGCGAAGGGGAAAAAACAGCATAGAACCGCACAGTAAAACAAATGAAAGAAAAAAGGGACAAGGGAATGCATATGCGAGAAAGTGGGAAAGAAAATGAATGTAAGGAAATGAAAGAAAGGGAAAAAAATCATCGCCCGTCCATGACGCGCTCGACCAACGCGCCCACCCAGCGGTCAAACCGTTCCTGGTCCATCGTGCCCTCCTCGTCAAAGAATTCTGTGTACGCGCGCTCCTCGTTCGACTGCCCACGGCCGAGCAGCGACTTCCCTCCATTCGATGAACGCATGTACGACACGGAAACGTGGTAGCGCGGCGCGACGCGTGCAGCCACAGCAGGCAGCGTGCGGGACGCAACAGTGATCCGCTCCGTCTCGATGCGCTTCGCGAGCGTCTTCCGTCGCCCAACATACACCGTGTTTTTCTCGACAAAGAACGAATATAGTGTCGATGCAGCTGTGAGGATGACATATCTGTTCGCGGAGACGCGTTGATTAAAATGGTTAGTCGGATGCGATAAGGGGATGAGGAAAGGGAATGAAACGTACAAAATCACACCCGCCCACACAAGCGGCTTGGCCACTTCGAACTCGGCCTTCCAACCGTACAGTGCCGTACCCCCGGCGACCAACACGCTCGCCCAACCAAGTGCGAGTTTTACGTCCGTGTGCTGGTGGTTTTCTTGGAACAAGTCCGGTTGGGAGAGCAGCTGCGAACCGGCTATGAGCGTCAACTGCGAGTTTTGTAAAGCCACACACCTTCTTCACCGCATCGTCACATGCATTTTTGAGGTCGGCAAGGTTCATATTGTTCACTTTGATAGGCTCGCGCGCTGCGCCCGTACTGGCCGCAAGAATGTCGATACCACTCGTGCTCGCGCCCGTGCTCGACTTAGTCGTATCTACTGCCACCGACGATGACGACACATCTTTCACCTCAACACTCTTCGCGACGCCGTTGGCAGCCTTTCTGCGCGCCATTATTTGTTGTCGCTGAGACGGAGATGGGGAAGATGATGATAGAACGGGGAACAATACACGTCGATGAGGGAGGAAAGGGTACACGCCCGTCACAGTTGGTTTGCCGAGCTGTCTTTATTTGTGATCGCGTGCCACAGCAGCGCCACGTGTATTCCGACAATGGTCCACGTCCTCAACCGAGCCGGTCTCGTTCAGTTTGCGTCTCTCAACACACTCACTTTGCTGATATCGTATTTACGGGTCGTCAGCTACAAAGTAGTCCAATCTCACTCCTTTTTTCCCTTGAATTTTTCCGCTTTCTACTGTACACAGATAATTCCTGAGGCACTAACACGTCCGAATAACGCACGTGACACGCGTATGACGATCAACGATTCATCTGCGACCTCACCGCCTCCCGCGCGCCTTCCAGTTCCCAATCGTCCCAACACAAAGACAACATCCATGAATGACGGCCCGGACGTGCGTCGAGCGCGCGTCTCTCGGGCGGGACCTCGAACCCCGCCTTGCCCTCGCGGAGTACGCGCTGCCAGCGTATGATTCCCTCGCGCTGGAAGCCCAGGCGCTCCGCCGTGCGCACGGACCGCGCGTTCTCCGCATGTGTCTGCCACTGCACGCGTCGCAGGCCGAGGCCGGGGCCATACCCACCTGAATCTGCAAAGGACGCGAAGGGCAACTCGAGGCAATAGTGCAGGAGCAGCCCGACCGCGTTCGACGTGACGTGCGTGCGTTGGAACGCCGGCAGAATGAGAACGAATCCGATTTCTGTACTCAGGTTGGCCTTGTCCGTATTCAAAAGACCGATTATCCCTGCGACCCGGGGCTCCGGGCCTTCCCCTGTCCAACATTTTCATCGTTTTTAGGTGTGCTTTCTGTTTTATATGGATTATCTGCACTTTCTTACCGGTTTTATCCAAAATTGCAAACAGCACGTTAGACGGCTCCTTCAGCACACGGTTCTCCGAGAAATCGCCAATGAACTCGTCGATGCTCGCGAACGGCCCGGGAGGGAAGTACGTGTACAGCTCCGGGTGCGCCTTTGACCCTTCGAAAAACGCCTTCGCATGCAATGCGGCCTAAAAAACGCGTGAGCGTTTGACACAAGAAGAAGAGAAACAAGCACTGAACTATGAATGGCGTCAGCTTGACGCGAGTACTTTCCAAATCGCGTACGGGAAAGGCGAAGTTCACTAAGTCTTGCGGTGCTGAATCTGCCACTTCTGCTCCTGCGTACGACATCTTTGGGCTTATCTTTCTCTGATGCTGTTATTTGAAGTCTGCGTGAATTTATACCGTTGGAAGGTGCGCGTTACGGTCGAAACCGATATCCAAACAGGGCTATGACTCGACTGGCCAAGACCGCACGTGCTTTTCCTGAGCTGTCTTCGGTACCGGTCATCAGAAAACGCGTTTATCGCTCAGAAGAGGTTTGATAGTTAACGCTCAGGAGGAAGCAAATCCGCTAACGCTAAAAAACTTCGGCCGAAAGGGGAAAATGATCGACATTGGGCCATGATCAGTGCCTCCAAGAGCTCTCCGAGTTTCTTCGACGACGAAACCGCTCTTCGACGACATCACTTAGTCGAAATAACGGAAGTCAGGAAAACTGCCGCGTTTACGATTAAAGTTTGGTGTTTTAGTATCACGTACGTCGGTCTGAACGTAACTGACCACTTGAATGATAGTTTGTCTATCTAACCGGCGAGAAAGTTTACCTGTTCAGATATGTGGACGTGCAAGTTGTTTTTGCTAAAGGTGTAATGACAGAAGAACTATGCATCTGTCCCTCAAGCTGAAAACAAACTCGTTGTCGCTTCCGTTTTCTGCCCCCATGGCGTCCGTTCATCCAGCAATGCACCCATTTTAACCTTTATAACGTCTTACACTAAAGATGTTGCAATGATTTCAGAGCTTCAAACACTCCATTTCGAATTCGCGAACATTGCGAGCAGCATGTTCACTATGTTGAGGCAGATTTGACATACCGTGCCATGCACTGTCTATGCGGATTAAGACTAAAGATACACAAGTTGAGTGCTTTCTATGATAATGATGCGGAGGATGTGGATATGGCAGTAATAGTGTCTCAGTCACTTGTGTAAAAACTTATATTTATATTTTGAGACATTATACCACCCATTATACCACCCACATGCGAGTGAGTTGAGTGTGTATCCGATCCAATGTCTGATTGATTTTATGATAGGAGGTCCTTGGTATCGGGCTCGGTTAAGCGCCATGATTTAAACATACAGTCGAACCTCCCATATTGCATAGAGGTCGGTGGAAGGTCTGTCTATGCTTATTCAGAGGTTATGCAATACGAGAAACTTGACTTATTAGGTAATGAAAACCATTAAATGAGAGTATAAGTTATAATGGTAATTATGTGGTTGCTATAACATCCCTAAGCTGAAAAAAACAAACTGTGTGATATTCAGCTGTACAATGCTCTCTATGTGAGCTACTTGCAGCTTCATTCTGAGTTGGTGGATAGTGCAGGCTTCTCCAGAAGGACATGTAGGCCTGCGGAAGGAGCATTGAGAGTGTGTCGAGTCCTTGTCATAGCGTTGTTAGGTGGAAAAATGCGGAAGAAAGGGAGAAAATAATCACTGAAAATGTCACAACCCGATGGCAGCCGACCCTGCATATTGCATATCCGTATTTAATTTACTCAAATTGGCTATGCATTATGCATATATAATTTTATGCATTATTGTATAGGGATTTTCTATCTACCGACCCGGTGGAAACCCGGATCTACATAATGGGAGGTTATGCACTATGAGAGAGATGCAATATGGGAGGTTCGACTGTATACATAAATATGATAACTCACAGTGCTGTGAATTATCAAGGTACTTATTGGATAGGTCTTTAGATGGCCTGATGGTCTAGTAGTATGATTCTCGCTTCGGGTTTACTCCTGGAAATTCATTTCCTTATGTGCGAGAGGTCCTGGGTTCAATTCCCAGTTAGGCCCGTTGGTTTTTGGTTATCTTCTCTCAGAAATAGTCATGCCGGAATGATTTTTTAATGGTTTATTAGCAAATTGTTTTGAGCTGAGGAAGGGTGGAGAGGAGTTTCTGCTTGTTTTGGGAAGGTAGCGCTGGGTCAGAGTTTAATTGGGGAGGGTGGTCTAGATTGAAATGCCTTCCTTGCGTGCCTCTGGATTGCTGGGGCGTATTAGCTCGAAATCTAGACCTCATACCAGGCGCATTGATCATAATAGTCTTCTAATAGTGCTAGGATGCAGGCGTCTACTCATTTATGCACTATAAATAGAGGTAGATATACAAGACTTCGGAAGTACGTACACTTGGAAAGAAAATCTAATACATAGAACACATATTCCGAAAACTCAATCCGTGAGCCACGGTCGCCAGTCAGACCGATTCCCTTTTGTCTTTGAGGTGAGTTTGTGAGTCTTTTTCTCTTGCCGAGGAAGGTCCCTGTTTCGTTGTTCGAAAGTTCCGGATAGCAGAAACCGAAGTCCATTTCACTTGGTGCAAAGACAGGAATGTTGTTGCCCCCACTTACAATAAGATGAACAGAGTATCACAATGTTCCTCTTATATAGCTAATTGAATAAATAAATGGAGGCATGTAAGGGAAGAGTGAAGTCGAAGCCTTACTTAATGCCACCGCATCCCGAATCCCGATATGGACGCGTCTGCTGAGACGCGCGGCGGAGATTCACTCGGGCAATCTACTGCACCGCTTCAACTTGTTCAAACCTTCTAATTTTCGCTCAGAGCTGCGCAATGGCACTGACTACAACGGACAGCCAAGTCGTTATTAAAAAGTGGCTGAAGCCAATGGAAGAAGGCGAAGAAATGTCCTTTGTGGGAAGACTGCATAGACGCTCTACAACAATACGCATCGTCGGTTGTCGGCGGTGGCGCTCACCGCCTTAACCCGCCATCGCATGCCGCACTTTTTTCTCGACCTTTTGACAGCTCCGATCACCGAGGCTCCCGCTTCAAGTCATTGTTGTTACGCGTGTAAATTTCGAGGAGACGTGATTCACGTCAGGCTCGCGAGTCAATACTGCCCTCTGTTTACTAGTACGGGAGGCAATTACCCATTTTGTCTTGCTTCGTCCAACTGCCAGTCACTCGTCATATCCTCGTCCATGCACATGAACTTAGACCGTCGGCACCGGTCCAAAATATCCAACCCGAACCACTCTGTGTTTGCTCTTGCGAACAAGCATCATGTTCCAGAGTTTGCAGTGCATGAAACTTGTCCACAATGTCGCAACACTCATGATCCTACGTTACCTGCCGTAAGCAAACTCCAACAGCTCGCCGACCGCTTATTATTCAGACCCTATCCAGTTACCCAACTGCGCACAGATGTCCGCTTTCGGAGGGGTCTTGAGCTTTTTACGAGTGTCACGCATATCGCGCTTCTTCCATCGCTCGTGCGTCGCGCTTGAAATAGAGCGAAGGAGAGGGCTCTCGTGCTCTGAGAAAATTTTCACCCTCCCCGCAAGTCTCGTCTACTCGCGAATCCGCTCGTCTGTCACCGCAAATCAGCATTATGAACTCTTCGGATAGGCATGCGAGAAGGAATAGAAGAGATCAAGATCACCATTCGCCCTCACCAGTAGCGTTCCCTCAAGCACAGACGCGTCGGAGCGCGAACCCGCCTCAACTTCAATACCAGCCTTGGCCCGCATCTCCCAGGATTGGGTACCCACCCACCGCACCCATCCCAATACCAGCACGACCCGTCACGAATTCGTTGCTCGCTTTTTCTGCCCGCGCGGAGCATGATGCTCTGGAAAATAGAGGCCGGAGACACAGGCGCACACAGAGTCAGAGCCATGATGACAGACATACCTATCCGTATGCCCTGCGTGCAACTCTCCATGCGAGCGACTCGTCCTCCAGCGGCGAGCTTTCTGGCTCCGGGACCAATTATGCACAATCGCGTGGGTCTTCCGACATCTTCCATTTCTCCCCACCAGAATCGGGACGCGCGAGCCCCCAAGCCAGCATGCAGAATGTGCACAGATCGCCATTCATGTACACTCCGCCACAGACGGCGCACGGCGCGTCGCCGGAGCCTGAGCAGATTCGGTGCTACAGGTGCGGGCGCATGGTTCGGACGAATGCAGTTGGCGTCCACATGCATGTCTGCGAGGGCGGGCCCGCGGCGGGGCCGAGGCAGTGGTGCGCAGGTTGTCCATAGCCAGTTCCTTGGCATAGAGGGTGGGCAAGAAAGTGCAGTTGGCATGCATCGACACAGCGATGCTCATCCGGCGTCTCGGCAGATCCGTGCCGACTACTCAGACGCGGTGCGGAGAGGAGAGGGAAATGGCTTGGGCTCCGAATCGTCTCGTGGACGCGCGGTCCCGAACGTCAGAGGCCGTAGTCACGCGCACTCGCAAACGGCTGGACAAGGAAGCACAAACGCACCTTCTCAAGCGCGCCGTCGTGCCTACTCGCTCGCTACGGGAGGCCCGTCGCGCCTCCCTCCCCCTCCAGACTATAGCAGGCTCCCGCACGCACATCTTCCTTGAAGTTATAAATGCTAGCACTTTCTAGAACTTAATACAGGATTGAAATCCGTGGGTCCATGTGTGAGTTGCCGTTCTTGCTGGGCTTGTTCTTTTGTGTCCCTCCTTGATCTGCTGCTGAACCGAGTGATGACTATCTAATCCTTGCATCCTTGTCCGTTTCTGTCGCTTTCTTCGTTCCCAGGCGAACCTTTGTTTCGATATTCAAGCTCGTTTTCAAAACCCGCCTTCCAAGTACTCTTTGACAGATTCATTACTCAAGCAAATTCAAGCAGTATCAGAAATGATTGTAGGCAGCGTAAAAACGCCGAAAGCTATAAGGATCAAAATACAAGGATATCCCGGAAAGAAAGAAATCAACGTTTCCAGCGACGTTCCGATTGGTGCCTACGCAATCTCGATTCTGGCATCTTTCCTTCCCTCATTTTCCTTCTCTTCCCATCTTGACCTCCAACTTCAACTTATCGCCGTCCAGATCATTTCCCTTTCTTGACTTCCACAAAATTCTATTCTTTTTATTCATCTCGGACTTACTTTGTGAACTTACGATGCTCAGATACCCGCACTCCGTTCACCCATACCAACTATTTCGCATCTTCGTGTACAATTTCTCTCGATGTCTCTCTCCCTCTACTTGCGTATATGTATTCCTGTGTTTGTTGGAGATGCCTGTTTCACCCTCTCTTTGCTCTCCATGCGATTGCTTTCTTGCTCTTTTATATCCACGCGCATACTATCCTTCTGCTTGTCGTTTGTCTGTTATCGTATCAAAGACTTCATCTCTTTTCGACTTCTGGTTTGCTATCATGCCGTACATATTTTATATTCTTCTGCGCCTTTTTCTTTATCTCGTGTTCTTTGCGATTCCTCACAATCCGTTTGAGCGCGTTCTCGTTCTCTCTGGCTTTGCACGTACATATATACATAAATTTGTGATCATGCCTTAAGTGTGCAGTATCTTATGCTTGTTCATTGTCACTGGAATTCGAAAGCCAGGACAGGTAAAACGCTCGCAGCTGCAAGCTGCGGTTCATCCGCACTTCATTCTGGAAAAGACTGTATTTATGTACGATAGAAGACAAGATATTATTTACGAAAACAAGTAGATAAATAGCGAGATAGACCACAGCCGAACGTATACGAACGAGGTCAGCGAGCACAAGAAGCAGGGGTCACAATGCAATATGCATAGGCTATAGCTACATCAGGGAGAGTCGAGACCGAAACTAGAGAGACCAAGGTGAAGAAACGGAAAAAATGACAGTGAAGATGAAGGCCAGGGTGAAAAGACAAAGCAACGAGCGAAGACCGGAGTCAAAGAAGGGAAGATAGGGATCAAGCAGTTGGAGATAAACGATACAGCTGAGTCAGAAATAGTGTGATGCGTGAAAAAAATCCGAATTAAAAGCAAGATCCAACCATAGACAATGAAATGAAAATGAGAATTGTAGACGGCAAAGCCTACAATTCTCCGCTCGCCGTAGGAGCTCAGGAAGAAGACGGGTTTGCACCAAGCAAAGAGCCGACAACGCAGTGGATAATGAAGAATAGTAAATGGAAATGTGGTAAAAGTTGGAAGCATCTAGGATGTGCGTAACTGGTGTTTGTATGTTTGTATAGGGTGCGAATGCGTGTTCATTGAGACCAAAAACTGGAAGAATTTTTTTTAAAGGTTGCGACAGCCTGACTTCGGTGTTCAATGTGCGACAGCGGGCGTGAGGAACGGCGACGTGTGTACGTAGTCACTGAACGAGAAGCGTGGGTCCGCGTTCATATCATGCTCGGCCGCGCCTCCGCGCGCAGACGAGTCCCCGCTGCCAGCAGAGGGCTCCGGAGCACGCGCGTACCCGTCGTAGTTCATGGCCATCTCGAGGCCCATGTGCAACGGGGGCACGCCGAGCGAGTCTGAAAGTGCATTTGTACCGTGCATCGTACCGGGCCCGAGACTCATCTCATGGTGATCGAGCCCATGCATCCCAAGGTCCATCCCGAGTCCGTACCCGTAGTTGAGATCGTTTGTACCTGCGCACATGCCTGCATCCGCGTTAGCATTGGCGATTGCACTACCATAGGAAGATGATTGCTGCGACTGCGACGGCGCATTGCTGTTTGAAGAGGAATCGACGGCGACGTCCACGGGGCCGTCGAGCAGCTCATGACCTGAGACAAAATCGTGGCCGAGCTGCTGTACACCTCCGGACATCTCTGCCACAGAGCTGTGGGGTCCAGAGACCTCTGCGAGCGTCGACGAGGGGCTCGCGCTCGCACTGGATCCTGTGCTCGAGCTCGGTTGGCTGGATGAGTATTGCTCTTGGAAGCCCTTCACGTGCCCACCTTCGTGATGTTCCGTCGTGTAGAACGAATGCGCGGCCAAGGGTATGGCGTGCCCTGCACTAGCATCCTCGGTTACGTATGGTGGGACGATCTTGCGCACGGGCACCGGTTGCGCGAGCGTG